CTCTCCAGCGAAGTGGGGTTGTGTGAAGTTAAACCTTTCCGACGCCACAGGAAATAGAGCAGAAGCATTACTACAACTACACTTTTTCTTCAGTGGAAAGGCCCTTGGTGTTACCAAAGATTTCCCTTTACCTTTTATTTCGTCGTTTTAGCTTACGGTACAAAAGCCATTATTAGGAACTTTACTTCTGCAATGCAAATTAAGGCAATGCATGAAAGTCACAGCTAATTTTTGGATATTCACAAGATAACTCCTACTTTAGTCAGTCACTCCATCGCTGTGAAGTTCTCTAGTACATCGTCCTCATCCGTAAGAAGGTATGAAACTGATTTCGAAGAGCGCCGTACCAAGCAACTTTACATTAATGTTAACTTGAAAATCTCCAATAACATGAAATTTACGGTGCAACGTTGTTGGCAACCACTGTATACGAAACTTTTTCCAAGTGTAATGTGGAAACTTATTTTAGATGAAAAACAGTTTAAAGCAAGATGTTATGTGTCTCAATCGTGGGATTACGTGTATTATTTTGCCCGGTCGAGCAGTACTCAAAGCGAAAAGGAAATACTGAAGTCATTGGCAGGAAACCGGCGTGCAACACTGACATAAACGATGGTGGCAGGGTTACGTAGGAAGCACGAGTTGAATGAAAAACTGGAGTTGTCGTGCCGTTTTCACGAAAGAAGACCATAGGGAGTACTCCAATCATTGAGACATTACCTAATGGTACCTTCCGGGAATAGTCCATGAATGCGTGTTAGAAAGTCACGGAATAACTTACTCTAAGATACAGAAAGAACAATGTGGCTATAGGTCAGCGTGAAGCACCTCTTATCAGAAACTCTATTTACGCCTGATTGTCATGAAATAGCGGAATTTCGTTTGTCTGATTTAAATGTGCTTTGTTGCCCTGGAGAAAGTCTTTGACCTCATTCCACGGAACAGTCTAGGGGCGTGTCTGCAAACACATGCATAGATGACCGGTTGGATTCAGCTGTTCAGTCACTGTAGGTTGGTAGCAGGTGCTGCGTCACAGTAAACGGCGTAAAGAGATTTGGCATTTAAACTTTGGCAGTGATCTAGGTCAATTTACCTTTCTGCATCTTCCCCCATCTTTGGTCTTTTATGTTGCAAATTTAGTGGATACATGAATTAAAGCAAATTCGGTGACATTCGGAACTACGCCGTTGTCGATCCCAAATCCGGATGAGAAAGGAAGAAGGTTGCAGTTCGCAGCGAAGTCCCCGTATAACTCAGCCACCTGACCCTTATGGTATTGCCGCGATCGGAAATTATACAAGCTTGGTAGCCGCCCGGGTTGCCAAGGGTCTCGCAGGCAGTTGGGAAGACTGAGGCAGGCTGAGAAAAGCCCGCTATCAGAACCTGGTCATGGTCTTCTGGCAGCCGAGAGGGCAGCAGAACAACAACGGCTGCCGAAAATTGCCGAAGAGAGCAATCAGCATTCAAGTGGCTATCCATTCTGATCGGAGGAACGCAGACACAGTCATGTCATTATAGCACATCAGAATAGGCCCCACGAAAACGATTAACCAGCGGCTTACAGTTGGAGATCGGAAAACACTCTCAACCAGGGGAAAGAGCAGCAGCTAGCTGATGACGCCGCAAGGTACCAACTCGACAGAATTGGACTCTCCTCAACGAAGCGCTCCAAGGCGCTGAAATCCCCAACCTCTGCGGGAAGAAGCTATTATACTCAGGATTCGACATCACCACGTCCGCTCACTCGACATCACCGGTATAGGTGTTCCTGCAGAATCCAACCTAGCTGAGAGAATCATTGAATGGAAGCCTGTTCATGGAAGAGTCATAAACCTCAAACTGAGGCTACAACAGGCTAAAACGCTAACCTTGT